GTCCTCATGTTCAACTTGTTTCCAAACTAAGAGGGATTAGTAACAAATAACTAAAACAAAATAAGTAATCATAAGGGCGCCTGGGTGGCTCAGTTGGTTAAGCGACTGCCTTCGGCTCAGGTCATGACCCTGGAGTCCCGGGATCGAGTCCCGCATCGGGCTCCCTGCTCGGCAGGGAGTCTGCTTCTCCCTCTGACCCTCCCCACTCTCATGTGCTCTCTCTCTCTCATTCTCTGTCTCAAATAAATAAATAAAAAAAAAATCTTAAAAAAAAAAAATAAGTAATCATAATAGATGTACAAACAATGCTAAGGGTCCAAAGGAAAAAGATAATATATCTGGCCTGAGACATCCAAAAAATAGTTTATTCAGGAGTTAATGATTGAGAAGGGTGGTAATGAATAAAGTGGGAGAGAATGGCTCCCCTGCCCTGGCCCATCCTAAAAAATGCAGAAAAGTCAAATGCTTCCTGTGAATCTTGACACCGGCACTGAGTTAGCTTACACTATCCTACCAACACTGTGGGTCACAAATGTGTTAAATACTTTACCTGTTTAGCTTTCTATAGGTGCTATAACAAATGACCACAAACTTAGTAGTTTAAAACAACACAACCTTAATATCCTAGCATTCTGGAGATCAGAAGTCCAAAATGGGTTTCACGGGACCAAACTTAAGGCATGGTAGGGCAGCATTCTTTTCTGCAGCCTGAGGAGGACCCATTTCCTTGCTCTTTCCAGCTTCTAGAATTTGCCCATACTCCTTGGCTAGTGGCTTCTTCCACCATCTTCATAGCATCTTCAATGCTGATAGAATTCTTCTCACATTGCATCACTCTGACCTCCTGTTCTGCCTTCCTCTTCTACTTTAAGGAGACTTGTGTTTATATTGGGCCCACCCAGATAATCCAGAAAAATCTCCCTATCTCAAGGTCAGCTGATTAGCAACCTTAATTCCTTCTTGCCATGTAACATTGTATTCACAGATTCCCAGGATTAGGATGTGGACATCTTTGGGAAGCCATTATTCTGCCTATCACATATAATCTCATTTAATCTTTATCACAGACCTATGATTTTGGAAGTACTGTTAACTCTATAGATAAGAAATGAAGGAATAGAAAGATTAAGGGATTTGCCCATGATTACCAAGCCAATAAGTGGCAGATCAGAATTGAGAACTCAAATATTTCTAACTCTAGGGCCTAAACTTTGATAAAGTGACCAAAAATCCGGGTCACTTTAAAGTGACCAATAATTCAGTGTTAAAAAATGGTCAGTCCCAGGAAACTGATCGGTTTTAACACTGAGTTTCACAGGCCAGGAAAACCCCTCTGTCCCAGGCAAACCACAATGGTCAATCACCATATCTGAACACTTAACCCAAATCCCTATTACAAAAGTTTAGCCAGAATTTATTAAGAGCCTAGTCATCAGAGATCACAACTAAATTCTACAGGGCTCCACAGAGGTGGGATATGGTGCTTCATGAGGCACAGAGATGGCAGAGAAACTCCACCTCTTCCTCCAAATTAACTTTTCCCTGGTTTTGAAAGAGGACTTCAACTACTCCCATTTTGACCTCAGTCTCTACTTTCTAATTGATTAAGAAGAACTTAATCTTCACTCGGGCGCCTGGGTGGCTCAGATGGTTAAGCGTCTGCCTTCAGCTTGGATCATGATCCCAGGGTCCTGGGATCGAGTCCCACATATGGCTCCTTGCTCAGAGGGAAGCCTGCTTCTCCCTCTCCCACTCCCCCTGCTTGTGTTCCCTCTCTCGCTGTCTCTCTCTCTGTCAAATAAATAAACAAAATCTTAAAAAAAAAAAAAAGAAGAAGAAGAACTTAATTTTCACTCAGGCAAAACCCCTGTAGGCAAAGCATCCCCTAATGGGAACTGAAACTACCCCTCAAGCAATAGGGACTTCCCTGAGCCAACAAGACCCAACCCATGACAATGATGACCTGAGTTTTACTGCCCACCTGCATGTACCCACCAACCTTTGTCCCATTTTCCTTATACAAATTTGTATTTTTGGCTAGTCTTTGAAAGGCTAGTCCATTGGCCTCACTGAAATAAATTCCTTTATTGTTTCACCACCACTCAAGTCTCTGCTTTTGGATTTTGTCAGCAGTGAGTGGCCAAACCTGGTCTGCTGGGACCCCTGGATCCAGGTGCTCTTACACTGCTGTGACCCAACTAGTTTGATAAAAAGATGCATTTGCTGAAGATGGTCAGATAATTTACTCTAAGAAGATTCATAAGCAGGACCTTGAACACAGATGGGAAAATACACTTCAAGTAGAAAATTTAGAATTTACTAAAATTAGTGGCATAAACTTAGTTCTCCCAGAAACTCACTCTGGGACACGGATTGGAATGCATTTTGTTTTTTTAGGAAGGGATTCCAAGAGACATTTGTGGAGACCGGGGAAGAGAAGGAAGGAAAGAAAGAAGGAAGGAAAGAAAGAAGGAAGGAAGGAAGGAAGGAAGGAAGGAAGGAAGGAAGCCAATATAGTGGATGATGAGCAGGTTACTGATAAGGACAGCTGGATTACTGATAATGGACAAGGTTACTGATAATGGACAGAGCCTATTGGGTCCTTTGAGAAGATGGTGTAGAACATGTATCAGAATTGTTCTCCACTGCAGAGGTGAGGAAGCTGGGATTCTGGCCAGGCAGTTGGAAGCCTTCAGCATGCATTGAAATAGTGAATGCCAAGGGGATATGGGCAGAGCACCAATAGTTCTAATTTGCCTATCCAAATCATTTCCTTAGTCTTACTACTTCTCATAATTTCTACAGTGACAACCCTAGTTCAAGCCACTGCAGCAGCTTCCTCACTGGCTTTCTTGCCTCCACTCTTCCTCCCCACCCGATCCCCACACAATAGCCAAATGCCTTTTCCAAAGTATGAATCCAATTATGTCACCACCACCCTAGCAACAACTCAGATTCTTGTTACCACCTAGAATCTAGCTTCCTCATAGCCTTCAAAGCCTTACATGGCCTGACTACCCCATCTCTCTGATCTTACCTCCTAAGTAAAGCTTGTAAACCAGTAATAAACATGGTATATTGGAGTTATGTTTACAATATTTCTCTTCCTTTTGTTGATTAGATTCGTCTCAGTCTTTGCTCTGCTCGTTGGTTCTTCTGTTTACAATGCTTTTCCCAGTAGATCCCCTTCTCACTATTCAGGTTTAACTCTAATATCCCCTCCACAAAGACCTTTTCTTATTTATTACTTTAGCCCAGTCATTCTTTTCACTGACTTTTTTAGAGCAATTATTGGTCCCCCCCAAATATCTTTTTATATGTTTTCATATTTATTGTCTCTCTGCACACTATTATGTAAACTCCTAAGGGGCAGTGATTTGGAATGTCTTGTTCAAAGCTATGTTCCCAGTACCTAAAATGGGTTCCTCGCACATACTAGGGATTTCAGAAATATTTTTTACCGAAAAAATGTTTCCAAGATGGATGAAGTTGAATGGAAGGGCTTATCTGTCTTGAGTATTGTAAACATAACTCCAATATACCATGTTTATCACTGGTTTACAATAACCATGAACAGAGGATTTGCTAAGCAAAAGTAAAACTGATGAGATTATGGAAAATTTTTCATCAGTGGAGTCCCATTTAATGAAGTTCTATTTTCAGAGAGGCTTGTAATGATGATCATGTTTTAGCTATTTTTAGAATGGAAATAAAATGACAACTTGCAATTTTCTTTCTCCCTTTAGGTAAATCGATTTATAGCTTTGGATTAAAATTATTTTCTTCTAGGATTTAGTCAATGTGTTAAAAAAAATAACTGAAACTAATAGTATTGAAAACCATTATCAATCAGCTTTCAGGAGGTATATTATTGCTTTCTGAAAACCTAGACAGCTTCACCTTGTCTAAATCTTTAAGGCTGTTTTTGTTTTGTTTTGTTTTGTTTTGTTTTTTTAAATTTTCTGTATTGTGGTTCCTGTTCTACTGTTGACTAATTAGGATGTTGCATCTCATCTCATTTTATATAAAGACCCAATTAAAAATTTGGAAGGAAGCCAGCAAATTTTAAATAGAAAAAAAAAAATGCACACTGTCAGAGTTCAGTAGGACACTGACAGCAGATAGTGAGTCTCAAAGCACTTCCAATACAGCCCAACCCACGTTCCAGCCTTCTCCTCTCCCTTTCCCTACCCCCTACTCCCCACCAGCCACCCTGTTTTGTCTACACTTGTTACACAAGCAGGCTTCCTCCCTCCTGTCTGCCTTTGCCTGGGCTGTTTCCCATTCCATCTCCCATTCTGTCAGCATCCTCTCTCTCACCTTTCTTCTTCTTTCAAGTCCCAGCTCAAGTTTCCCTCTTCTAGGTAGCTCTCTCCTAACCCCCAGGCACTTGCTGGGTCTTTATTCCTGTGCTCAGTGTTCAGATTATACTTGGTAAAATATGCCTAACATTCCCATTTTGAAACTGCAGTGTAATGATTTATGTGCAAATCAGCAGCCATCCTGCTGCACAATCTTTCAGGGCGAGAACAAGATCTATTCTGGAATCCTCAACACTTACCATATTCACTACAGGAAGTGCCCCCTAAGTAGTTGGTGAATATTCTACTCACTTCAACATACCCCGGGGTTCTAAGAGGGTATGTTCTGCACAAGTTATTTCGCTCTGCAATGGTAATTGGTAATGAAGATTGGGGGTGGGTAGGGTAGGGACTTGTTATGTTCATGTCTCCTCTTTTTCCCTATATTCTCCCTTCTGGCTTCAGGCTATTTATACTTTCTTCATTTCTCACTCATTCTTTAATTCTGTAACCCTCTCCCTCACAGCTACCCAATTCAGGAACTTTCCTTCCCAGTCTTTGTCTCATTGATATGACTGCACCCTCTGAACCCTAGCATCCTGAAGTCCATTCCTCCCTTGCCTTCTAGGACAACACTCTTCCGGTTCTTCTCCTATCACTAATGCCTACTTTTCAATTCCTCTGTTTGTCCCACCTCACCTGTCTTTCTCATGTCAGTGTTCCACAGACTTCGACTCTTGGGTCTCCTTTCTTCTCTTCTACATGTCTTTGTGTTCTCATCCACTCTGATAGTTTCAACTATCACCTATGTTACAGGATTTCTTGTCCTTCGGTGCACGTAGTTCTTGGTCACATCGCTTCTAAGAATGAAGAGGAAGACCAGACGAAGAGTGGTGGGTAACAAAGCGAAGTTCATTGAGCTACAGTAAAACAAAGTTTACTGAGTGATAGTACAAAGCTCCCAATGAGGGAGGGGACCCGAGAGGGTTGGGTTGCCAATTTGGTGTTTAAATCCAGGGGTTTTTATGGGCTCTTCGGTGTGGGCTGTTTTAATCTGATTAACCCCCAAGAACCTGTCACCCAATCAGGTTTTTGTCCACACACTCATCTACCTATCAGGTAGTTGTTCGTTTGGGAAAGGGTGGAAGGCTCCTTCCAGGGTGGTGTTTTGTAGCCTTGGGGACCAAGAGGGTAGTGGCCACCACTGCCCTAAGGCATGCTGGCCAGCGCAGGCCACCAGATCAAGCACTTTGTTTAAATATCCCACTGGCTATTGAGCTGGCCCCCAGGCCTGGGTTAGGATGTCCAAGGCCATTCCCTTCCTTTTTGTCACATACAAGTTTTAAGTCCTCCAGTAGGAAGACTTAAAGCTAGGGCACTGAGTAAAGCCTAGAATAACAGCATGGGGTCTTTTTCCTTTTAAGGGTAGTTTTCCTCTTAGGACGGGGGTGGGGGCCTTGTCCCTGCCTGCCTTTCTTCCAACTATCCTTCATTACCTATATATTAATGACTTCCAAATCTATCTGTAGACCCTGGTGTGAATCAGACTAATGCCATCTTGGACAAATCTGCCATGATGACCAGTTTGTGACCTGAAACCTTCTTGAGCATGCCCTCCTCCCCCTCCCCCCCATTCTTTTGTTCCTCCACACACTTAAGTACACCTTCAGGGCAGAATATCCATGATCTGCCCTGGAGATATGACTATTCTTAAACATTCTCCTCTTGAGTGGTCCCTCAACATGTACTCCTAGTCTCTAGGGTTATAAAAGAGGTCTTAAAGGAGGTTGGGTTGTGGAGATCTGCTTGTCTTGTGGCAGCCCAAGACATGCTTTTATCCATAAGTTCCTTTAATAAAAACCATTTCCAGTCAAGCTGGACTTGTAAGCCTGTTTCTCTGGTCTTCTGGCTCCTTTGGCCTTTGGAGGTCATTTGCATATACCTCCCTTTCACGGAACAACCCTACTCTTCTCCTGACCTACAAATGGCCAAATCTATTTTCCCATATCTCTGATGGGCTGCCCCAGATTCACAATGAAACTCCCCTTGTCTGTAATTGAACTGGTGATGTCTTCCTGCCCATTATAACCTGGTAATAATCTGGTTCTCTTCCTATATTCCATAGCTCACTCACATTTCCACTCATTCCTGTTGTCCAAACAGAAACAAACTCCTCGCTCATCTTCATACCTAGTTTCAGTCAATTCTTTTATTATTTCTCTTAAATATTCTGTTCTGTCACTACCACATTTCTTTTTTTTTTTTTTTTAAGATTTTATTTATTTGACAGAGAGAGACACAGCGAGAGAGGGAACACAAGGAGGGAGAGGGGGAGAGGGAGAAGCAGGCTCCCCGCTGAGCAAGGAGTCCGATGCGGGACTCGATCCCAGGACTCCAGGATCACGACCCAAGCCGAAGGCAGACGCTTAACGACTGAGCCACCCAGGCGCCCCACTACCACATTTCTAAAGATACTTTCATCAATCTTTGCCTGAGTTACTATAACACTTTGAAACTAGTTTCCCAGCCTTTAGTCGTACAACCTTCAAGCCTTTTTCCATGTAGCAGTTAATGTTATTTTCTATGATCCTGCAGCAGCTGCTGGAATGAGGCCCCCCAGGTCAGGCCCAGTGCTACCCAGGGATGCCCCAGACCCGAGACGTGAGCTCCTCTCTCCGAAGAGCTGTGCCCTTGAGCACCAAGCGGCGCCTGGAGGAGGAGCAGGAGACCCTGTGCAAACAGTTCCTTTCTGAAGAGAACATGGCCCCCCACTTCCCTGGACTCAGCCTGCACAATGACCCCCCTTACTGCAGCTTCCCCATGACTTCCCCCCATCTCTGCCCCCACTCAGGAGCCCTTGCTCTGAGCTGCTTCTCTGGCACTACCCTGGGAACCTGATCCCCAAGGCCCTCCAGCTGCTGAGGCTAGGGGACACCCCCACCCCCTACTACCCTGCAACCCAAGCTGGGGAGATAATGGAGCTCTGAGTGCTGGTGGGCAGTATTTCTGCCCACCTTACTTCTTCCCCACAACAGAGAAGACCAGCATACCCACTAAGGGACCAGCTGTCCTGAATATTCTTCAGACCACGCCTCTGGGCCCCAGGACCTACTCTCAACAGAGGAGGACACTGAATCCCACAGAGCCCTGGGGTGAGAGGGGCTAGAGGGACAGGAGCATGGGAAGGGAGGCATTCCCCCCAGAACTGAATAAAGATTGCTGAGAAAAAAAAAATTGTTATTTTCTGACACATCCATGTCAGTTCCCTGTTTAAAAACCTCCAATATCCTCTATCGGTCACAGGATTTTAAAACACATATTTAAAAATTAACAAGTCAGGAAACAACAAATGTTGGTGAGGATGCAGAAAAAGTAGAACCCTCTCACACTGTTGGTGGGAATGCAAGCTGGTGCAGCCACTCTGGAAAACAGTATGAGGTTCCAAGAAGTTAAAAATAGAGCTACCCTATGACCCAGTACTTGCACTACTAGCTATTTACCCAAAGGATACAAATGTTGTGATCCAAAGGGGCACCTGCACCCCATTGTTTACAACAGCAATGTCCACAATAGCCAAACTATGGAAAGAGCCCAGATGTTCATCAACAGATGAATGGATAAAGAAGATGTGCTATATATACACAATGGAATATTACTCAGCCATCAAAAAGGATGAACTCTTACCATTTGCAACAACATGGATGGAACTGGAGGGTATTATGCTAAGCGAAAGAAGTCAGAGAAAGACAATTATCATATGGTTTCACTTATCTGTGGAATTTAAGAAACAAAACAGATAATCATAGGGGAAAGGAGGGAAAAATAAAATAAGACAAAATCAGAGAGGAAGACAAACCATAAGAGACTCTTAATCATAGGAAACAAACTGCAGGTTGCTGGAGGGGAGGTGGGTGTGGGGATGGGGTAACTGGGTGATGGGCATTAAGGAGGGCATGTGATGTAATAAGCACTGGGTGTTATATGCAACTGATGAATAACAACTCTATATCTGAAACTAATGATACACTATACGTTAATTGGATTTAAATAAAATAAGATAAAAATAAAACATATATCTATTATATATTATGCACATAGAATAATAACTCTCTCTCACACACAAACAAGGCGCTTAGCCATCAGATTCGATTTTACCTAACCATCCCCGCTCACTAATGGCCTTATCTTTCAGCCATTCCTCAAGCTGTCTGGGCTCTTGCTTGGGTCTGGGTTCTTCCTGAGGGTGTTCCATCAGCACTGAATCAACAATTTCACTGCAGTTGAACTGTGAAAATGTTCTCTCTTTGAGAGAGAAGTAAGCAATTAAGACGTTCCCTCTGTTGTTTAAATCAGGGAAAGGTTTCCAACATGGGTAGATACATATTAGGTAGGAAGGATGCATACTTCCTCTCTCTTCTTAGGATGAATTATCAAGAATCATTTCCAAATTGGACTTAATGTATTTCCTGAAAACAAACTTCTATTTTTAAAACTTCCTCCTGAGTATAGAATAGTAAAAACTAGTGAAATACTTATTGGTTAGAGCTCTTTTATCCTTGAGTTCATTCATCAGCAATTGAAATCTCTGAGCCCCACATGTAAGAATCTGGAAATGCTGTTAAGTTAGAAATATCAGTGGTAGCAGGAGGTATTGTTTTTTAAATCTGTCCCACATTTAATAAATGCTTCCACTGAGGGTACTTGTCTCCTAAAAGCCATAAGTTCTGTTTAGATTAAGATATTCAAGTTCCCATGGCTGTATAAGTTAGCCTTCAATGTGGAATCGTTCAATCAATGTAGCCAACATTGCATAAAAGTCCTCTGGGTGCTACAGAAGACACAAACCCTAGAAAAAAGTTATCAGGAAACAGGCAGCAGTCCTTGAGTTCCCTGGTTACTGTTAAAGATTTCGAGAAATCAGAAAAGCAACATGGCAGAGTAGGAAGAGCTTTGAAGTTAGGCAAACTGGGTTTATATCCATACTCCATTACTTACAAGCTAGGTAACTTTAGGCAAGTCACTTGACCTGAGATTACCTAATCTGTATAGTAAGGTGAATTCTACCTATGTCATAGAAGGGATAAGAACATTTCTTTTTTTTTTTTTTAAGATTATTTATTTATTTGACAGAGGGAGACACAGCGAGAGAGGGAACACAAGCAGGGGGAGTGGGAGAGGGAGAAGCAGGCTTCCCGCAGAGCAGGGAGCCCGATGTGGGACTCGATCTCGGGACCCTGAGATCATGACCTGAGCTGAAGGCGGACACTTAACGACTGAGCCACCCAGGCGCCCCAGGGATGAGAACATTTCTATTAGTGGCCAAATGAATGAATGATGGTCTCTTTCCAAATCAAGTTTTCACATTTTAAAAATAGATGTGCGTAGTATGGCTTGCTTACAAACCAAAGGAAGTTGCAATATAGTATTAGAGCCAAAGGATCCATAAGTCAGAGTTCTCAGCTAACAGATGAAGTGTTATAACAACCAAAGTATCAAGTTAGATACCATATTATGCACTTTTCATACTGAGTTAATTTTTATGTGGAAAGCAGTAAATGACTTAGATGAAACTTGTTTTAAAACAAGAGGACTGGTCTTTTTTTTTTTTTATCATGGAAGTTTGACTGTTGTAAAAAAGGTTTTTGACCTTGGGACTCTACAAAAACAAAATTACACTATTTTTTAAGATTATATATGAGGCTCTGGAGTTTTAAGGAACAGGGCAACACAAATTCACGGGAACAATATTTAAAGGATTTAGCTACTTATCTGAACTTCATACTATCTAGAAAATGCATAGAAATATTTTCCCTTGGATGAAATTTCTTAACCTTAGGATTTTGAGATGTTTTCAAATACAAAAGTCACATTTATTAAATGGCTTGACTGTCCACTTTTGGTATTGTACCAAGCAAATTACCATGACTCACACTGATATAAAAATTCCTCATAATTATTTTCATTAATTGTTTCACATTCATTATTTTCTTTTCATTTAATTTTAAATTATTTCACTTTACTAAAAGTATAGTAGAGGCTTGTCCCACTAAGCATAAATTTTATTGGTTATTTAAATGATTAACCTAGGGGCCCCTGGGTGGCTCAGTCAGTTAAGCGGCTGCCTTCGGCTCAGGTCATGATCCCATGATCCCTGCTGAGCAGGGAGCCCACTTCTCCCTCTCTCTCTCTCTCTCTGCCTACTTGTGCTCTGTCAAATAAATAAAAATTTAAAAAAAATGCTAACTGAAAGGATGAATTTTAATAAGTGATTTTTTTTTTCTTTAAGACTTTTATAGAGTATAGGCCTGCTATGACTGTGGAATGGCATTTTAGTACCAGCAAGCCTCCTTTTTCCCACAACCTGAAGATACTGTATGTCTAAAATGCGTTGTTTAATAGACTTCCTGCCATGCATGCTTTCCAAGAGTGGCCACTAGCCAGATGTTGCTCCGGAGTTCTTACAATGTGGTCAGTGTGACTGATGAACTGAATTTTTAATTTTAATTAATTTAAACTTAAATAGGCACATGTGGCTGTACTGGACAGTACAGGTCTAGAATGCATGTTGAAATAGCTGGAGCAGTAAACAAGTGTGATTACTATGCCCTCATTCCCACCTCTTTTTC